TGATCTGACTGCAGGTTGAAGATGATTCTTCAAGGGATCTGAATATGAGGCACTGGTGATAGTGTTCTCACAAGGCATGTAGTGCTCCAAGAGTACGCCTTGTTCGTCCCAGAAGAGTCAGCATAATCTTTGCTGCAGATGGCTGCGTCTGGAACTTCCTGGGTTTTGGTGATGAGGAATGACACCATTCCTTGCTTGTTCTCTTTGTTTCTAGTTGGTGGTAGTGCACCCAAGTTTCATCACCAGTAACGATTCTCGAAAGGAAGCCATCACCTTCTGATTCAAGGTGCCACAGAAGTTCTTCACAGGCGTCAACACATCACTTTCTCAATTCTGGAGTCAGCTGCCATGGCACCCACCTTGCAGACACTTTGTGAAACTGGAGCACATCATGAATAACATGGTGTGCTGATCAGTGACTCATTAAGAATTTCAGCTATTTCATCCACCAATACTCGGTGATTCTCCATCACTACTAGGGCTTCAACTGCTGCAATAGACTCAGGGGCCGTAATTCTGTGGGTCTGACCCGAGCGAGGAGCGTCTGCCACAGATGTCACACCATTTCTGAATTTCCTACTCCACTTGTACACTTACTGCTGTGACAAGCATGCATCACCATACTGAACCTTCATCTGTTGATGAACTTCAATAGGTGTCACACCTTCACTGATCAAAAAACAAATTACAGAACGTTGTTCTTCTTTCATGCATGTATGGAGCGGAGCAGCCATCTTCAAACTGGCACTGTGATGGCATTCTGTTTGTCTACATTATACTGCAACTTATAGGATACTCTTTATAGCATTGGTAACAAGTCTGCCAACTTATAGGATAATGGCGTGATATTTAAAATTTCTACCTCAGTTTTACGGTTTTCATTTGACTCACCTATGTACTATAAGACACATCAATGTTATCTTCATTCAAAATTATATCCACTATCTACCTCCCAAGGTTCAGTCCATATGCAGACAAATTACTGAGGAACATCAGTGTGTATTTCAATGTAAAAAATCGTCTATCAGTGAAATTTTTTGCATTCATCAGACAATGGAGAAAAAAACTACAGTATAAGGAGACAGTACATCAGCTATCCACAAACTTTAAGCAAGCCTACAATTCCATTAGAATGGAAGTACACTACAATATTCTCACTGAGTTCGGTATACTTATACACAAGTTGCGCCATTCAAAAATCATTTAAATGAAATCTATAGCAAAGTTTGTATAGGTCTATATTTGTCTGATATGCTTCCTATTCAAAATGGCGCCATTAATTTCCAACTTTGCTCTAGAAGACTGCATTAGGAAGGCCCAGGAAAACCAAGCAGGACTGCAATTAAAATGGAGACATGACCTAGTCTACACTGATGATGATAATTTACTGGGAGACAACATAAATATCGTAGGTAAAAACATAAAAGCTCTAACAGATGTTAGAATAGTTTTCAGTTTAAAAGTAAACACAAAGAAAACTAAATATATGTTGAAGTCTTGTAACCAGAATGCAGGACAGAATCATAACACAAAAGATGGTTAAAAAGTCCTTTGAAAATGTGGCAAAGTTCAAATATTTGGGAATGACACTAACAAAGTAAATATGATTCATGACGATATTACGAGCAGGTTAAATTTGGGTCATGCTTGCTACAAATCAGGTCAGAATTGGGCTACTCACCTGTGGCCAAAATACATAAAATATTAAAATATACAAAACTATAATTTTTCCAGTGGTTTTGTATGAGTATGAAACTTGATTTCTAACATCAACACAGACTAAGTGTCTTTGAGAACTGGGTGATGAGAATATTTGAACCAAAGAGGGATGAAATAACAGGAGGCAGGAGAAAACTGCAGTGTGGGAAGCTTTATAACCTGTACTCCTTGCCAAGTATTATTACAGTGATGAAGTTATGGAGGATAAAATGGGCAGAGCATATAACAGCTATAGGAAAGGAGTACATGCAGGGTTTTGTTACGAAAACCTGAGTGATAGAGACCATTAGGAAGACCTGGATGTAGATGGGAAAATAGAAAACACAAAATTATGGATTCATATGGATCAGGAAAGTGTCCAGTGGCAAACTCTTATGAATACAATAATGAACCTTCAAGTTTCAGAAAATTTCTGAAGTTGGCGAGCAACTTCTGGGTCTTCAAGAAGAACTCAGCTCCATGGAGTCAGTTACTTGGCAACACAAACTACATTAAATTTCAATCTAACTAGAATGTTCAAACTAATGGGGGAGAACCATACATGCAGACAAGAAAAGGTGAATTGCTTGGTAAGCTGAGCTTCAATGGAATGAGGAGGTGACATGGTTACAAAAATAGGTCACTTTTAGCATTAATGAAAACCAATTTTTCACTTATCATTGATATTCAATGCACATATAATAATGGGCCATAAGTTGAGAAATACTGTAACAGGTTAAGAGATGAAGTATTGCTATGGCACAACTTGTTGCATGCTCAGGTCTACTAAACTAAATTTTATTTATCTGTTGAAAGCAGAATAAAAGGTTATGAGCAGAAAACAATTCACTATGAATTAACTTTCACAGCAATAGCACTGACTGATAAACCAAGATAATGTATTGCCACTCCAGTTTAACATGATTCCTTATTTCAATTTCAGTCTTTCCAAGTGAATGTATTAACTTTTGGAGGTTTAGGGAATTCACCACTTACCTGAGACTCACAAAAGCAGGCACTTTTGCAATGTAAAGCAGTTCTCTTCTTTCAATATCCCAAAAAATATTGTCACGTGTATTAGTGACTATAGATCGGGTTTGGATTGGTGAATAGATTTAACAACCACTCAGAGGTTGTGACTACAAATAACTATAACAGTGTTGCTGATTTCCACACTAAGTCCTCTAAGTCTGCTTTTACTAGTTACTGCTTGGTAACAGGACTCAACAAGGGCCATTCCTCTGCAAAGTTTTCACTAGAAGTTTTCTGGTAACGAATCATAGTGATGGAGATTCTTCAGTTTCCGTTGTCCGCTGGTTAACACTCCACAGCTGAACACTCAACTCAACTACTGAACTCTGAACTCTACTATGCATTTTCATGTGTCTTCCCTTTCTAAATGTGAGTTTGATGTTATGACCAATGGTCAGTCATCCTGGGGCTTACAAACAGATTTTTATTACTGTCAGACAGCTGTGGGTTTGTTGACGTGGAGCACTGCCTCTGCTGAGGGAACAGGTCTGTCATTTAGAATTACTGCTGGCCCTTGCCAGAAAAGTCATTCTCGGATCCAAGTCCTGTGGGACTCGTGATCATATTTTACTGTCTCAGATTTGAGACTTCTCCTTTTGCCACCTCCTATAACTCACAGGGCTATGCTGGACGTATTCAAACCTGCCTCCACACAGAACTGTCAAAGTCAAATTCAAAGTCAAAGTTATGTTCCCACTGTTGGTCAGTCAGCCAGTCTGTCTTGGAATAAAGCACTCATCTGGGCCCTGGGTGATTATGACGATGGAGAATTTGGTGGACTGAAGACTGGCAGACAAAACCGAAGTACTCAGAGAAAACCCACCCCAGCGCCACTTTGTCCACCACAAATTCCACTTGACCAGACCCGGGATTGAACCTGGGCCACTGCGGTGGGAAGCCAGCGACTAACCGCTTGAGCTATGGCGCGGCCCCATCTGGGGCTTAAGACCAGTTCTTTATTACTGTATGACAACTGCAAGCTTATTGATGTGGGACGTTCTCTCTGATGACAGGATAGGTCTGTTATTTGCCAGAGCCACAGTCAGCAGTAATGTTACATTTTACATGTTATAAACTGTATATGCAATATATACAAGGTCTCTGTCAGTCCAGGATCAGTACAGCAGATCATGCCCTATCCTTAGTAGCTCCTGCTATGATGGCAGTCTAGTCACTTGAATGGTTGTATGCTTGACCACTGCCAAGGTTAAGCTTCTTATATTTCCTGTGTTAGGGTTTGCTTTGTCCAATGTTGCGAACATTTGCATTTTCATAATTTTGTATGACTTCTGCTTATTGCCTGCATAATTCTGTTATATAATCATATACATACGAAGCTTGAAAGCCATGTGCAAATCACAAGTTGGTCTGTGCCTTGGAGAGTAGGTGCTGCAATTTTAGTAGATGGTTGTCTGCCGCAAACTCCGAGGCCAGCCAAGCATAAGTCATTATTGTCCATCCCTTTATAACTATGTGAAGGACCAAATATAAATAACCACCTCCAACAGTTTCTCTATTATTGTGTACTTATTTGTTGCTGTGAAAACATGTTTCATGACCCATTGCGTACCAATGGGCATGGCACAGATCACATTGAAAATACCTCTTGTGTCATCAGATATATATTTATTGGGCTGTTACCTAGCATTGGATCTGCATGTCCCAATATATTAAGGGAATTTTGATGTATTTGAATACCATGAAACAACTGGTTTTCTGCAGCAAAGAAAAATTGTGAACGAATAAAATTACAAGTAGTACCCAGTAAAACTACACTAACAAGGAAATGCACGAGGAAAACACAATTCCACTCTACACTAACATAAAATTACATGAAAACTGAGAAGGGAAACAACTGAATCCATTTGCAAAGCAGTAATCTTTTGCATAGTGTGGTTCTGCTGTAATTCTGAAATTAAACCAAATGTTTAATATCTCACGCCCATGCAATTAAACTGCGTCGCCAATTAAAGTAAACTGTGGTTAACCTATAATGGTTGGAGGGGGGTAAATAACCAACTCTAAGCTCACTTCATATTACTACTTCTAGCGATTCACTAAAACTACATATACGCAACTCACCATTCTCACTACCTTATCAATGCACAGAGCTACCACATGCGATTAAGAACCAATGAAGATATCAAACTGTAAGCACAACCACACAGCGAAAATAGATTACGTCCAGAAGGGAGTAACTAATATAGTTACCTACCACGGTTAACGTAGCTTCAATCGATATACTTTTAAAATAAATTATGATAACTTACGTACTTCCTTACACGGGTAAAGTGCGTTTCTTCATAAAATGCTTATGAATATTAACAAACACTACACTTTGACTAAAAATGGTAAACTCTAACCACCCATACCACCACAGGCCTCCGCCATCATTCCGACTGCTCTCACTGCCTTCTACAACTGGAAACCAAACGATGCTCCTCTGGAGAATGATCGTTGGAAGAGAGCAAACCAATTGGTAAGATATAATGGAATCCCAATTAGAACCATCTGTATTCATTTTCAGTGTGCAATTAAAATCGTGTACTACTTCTCATAGACAGATCACGATATAATATGGGATTTCAGGTTTTCACTTCTGTGAAGATCGTGATTCGTGTGTTATGGCTCCGTGTCCATCTAGCAACTGTGTCACGAAGCCCGCAATCCACGGATCCCAAAATATATACATTTTCAACATACATGCCATCCACATGATCCACACGTATTGATTGGTCAATTATCACTTGTCAGTAAGAAGACACATGGTGTAATTGATAACTGAATTTATTGAACATTTATAACTCGTAACTAAAAGTAATTATAACAGGCTCACACATTTCTACACCTTAAAGATCTCTGTAATTACAGCACACTTGAATTATTGAGTGCCTTCATTAGTCGTTCCTTCTTAAAGGCTTTGACAATGGAAATCCAGCAACTTCCGTGCTTACGTTCGCTCACGTCCTTGTAGGCTGATGATCGTCTCACAACTCTCAGTTGCAATCCACTGGCATCGGTCCAGTACTGTCCAGTCCAGTAAATTGCTGCTGGTCCTCGCCAGCACAGCCGTTTTTATTTCGATTCCCGTTGGGACCCATAACCTAATTTATGTTCATTCCAATACCTTTTATATGTTGGAAATGGGGTTTCATCTTCGATGTACTACAACTAAAGGGAATGAATACTCCCTTTGTATATAATGCGAAGTGCCTTGTTACCTTCGGCAGGAGGATGACATGGAGACTCCTTATCGAAAGGACTGCAGCCAAGGCCCTGGGCACATACGGATGAACTGACTCCCAATTCAAACGTGTTTACGCATTAACATTAAATTTTCTCTGTATAAAGCTCTAATTAGGGCAATAACGGCTTATGCCTGTCTGTAGCTAATGCTGACCACTTGAAGCTGTAGAGTTGTCCCAGCTATTGGCAATTTTGACAGGCGCACACCGATCCGCGAAATGCACATGGCTCTCAAAATTACTTATATGTATGATAACATAGCAAAATTATTTAGGAAATAGGTGGAAGTCATTCAAAACAATCTACATCCAAATGTACATGCAACTGGACAAGGAGGAGTCACATGTAGGAAATAAGATATATAAAGTATAGAATATACCGTCTACACAACAACAATCAGTATTCAAAACAAAGAAGACACTACTGCATCAACATTTGCTTATATTATTGTAACGTGGATGGCGCAAAGGGAAGTAGGGTTAACGTGAACTCTGCAGTCTCGCGAGTGACGTCACATACCCCCACCCCTTCCATTATTACGCAACGCTCGGTAAACACTCCGTCGCCTCCCGCGGTGACGTAACAGCACTTCCCATGGTGACGTAACAGGGGACACCACGGTTACTACGCAGCAATAAAGAACTCTCGGCAGCGTTCCCCAGCAACACCTGTAAACACGACGTTACGCAACAGTGGTAGCTATCACGTGACGAAAATGGAAGTCTCAAATGTGAGACAGTAACATATGGCCGCAAGTCCCAAGAGACTTGCGCTGGCAAGGGCCAGCAGCATATAAAAAGACAGACCCATCATTTCGTCAGAGAGGGCGCCCCACAGAAACAAGACCGTAACTGTCGAGGAGTAATAAATATCTGGTCATGAGCCCCAGGAGGGTGCTCGATATCAAGACTTAATGACTGACTGATTGTCAGTCGCAATATGACTTTGACTACTGAGCCAGTTACTAGTATTCAGTATGAGCTGAAGTCCATTGTTATTGAGTTGTATCGAGTGAATGGCAGTGACTCCAGCAGGAGAAGTAATTGTGATACTGCAGATGGCAGTAGTGGTGTAATTGTGAGAGCGATTGTTCAATAAATTCGCTAGAACCAAAACGGCGTGAAGTTATTTGTCGCGTTATATACCCAACACAATTATGCTTATTAGAGACGTAACGTGTTTCAACCTTTCGCAGGTCATCATCAGGTGTACAATGCACCAGTCTGAGCTGTTGAGCTGCAATCAGTTGTCATTTTATTAATCGAATAAGGAGCCTTATTGTATCTTGAAGTTAAGTTCAAATATAAAATTATAACAAATCTTGGGCGAAATGTACGAAGCGTAAGAGGCTCAATATTGTACTGCAACATTTGGTTGCACGTCAGTTGGTGGTGGTTATGCCTATGACCGTTCAGGCGACGAACCACAGTTTCTTTAGTGGTAAAATAATGCAACGTGGATGGCCAGAGAGTTGTTGGTTAACGTACCTTTAAACACCCCGCGACAGAAGACACACAAGGCAACAGTATAAGATGTGTCTCAGTGGAGGAATGTTATTGTGCGGTGCAAGGCAACAGCGCACCAATGAAGACGCTGGCTATGAATCACGTGACTTGATCTCTGTGTGGTCTTTATACAACTATATAACTGTCTTCTGTGTGGTCCGTGCGGAGGCTATATAAAGAGAATAACTCCAGAAGTTCAGTTCAGACTTACTACTGCAGACAATGACTCCAACAAAAGATGGACGCATCCTCTCCGCAGAGAGGGCCCCCCACAATAACAAGACCTAACTGTCAAACAGTAATAAATATCTGGTCATAGCCACCAGATTTGGCTTGACACCAAGACTGACTGACTGACTGACCGCCAGTCACAATGTGACTTTGACGGTTCAGTCCAGAGGAGCGAGTGGAATGAATATGTCCCATGTGGAGGCGGGTTCGAATACCTTCACAGTGACCCTGCGAGTCGTAGGAGGCAACGAGAAGGGAAGTCTCAAATCTGAGAGAGTAAAATATGGTCGCCGGTCCCAAGGGACTCGAATCCGAGAAAGACTGCGCTGGCAAGGATCAGCAGCATATACAAAAGACAGACCCATCCTCTCGGCAGGGAAGGCGCCCCACAAAAACAAGATGATAACTGTCAAACAGTAATAAATATCTGGTCATTAGCCCCAGATGGGGCTGGGTACCATGACTGACCGTCAGTCACAATGTGACTTTGATATTGACTGTTCAGTTGGACCTCGTGTGGAGCCGGGGTAGAATACCTCCATGACCCTGCGAGTTGTAGGAGGCGACAAAAATGGAAATCTCAGATCTGAGACAGTAAAATATGGTCGCGAGTTCCAAGTGACTCGGATCCGAGAAAGATTTCACTGGCAAGGGCCAGCAGCATATACAAAAGACAGACCAATCCTTTTGTCAGAGAGGGCGCCCCACAGAACTAAGACCGTGACTGTCAAACATCAATATATATCTGGTCATGAGCCCCAGATGGTCGTCGACACCAAGGCTTACTGACTGACTGTCAGTCGCCATGGGACTTCAAATTCAGTTCAGTTCTCGGTAGGAGACGGCCACGGAAAGTTTGTAGAAGACCTGTGAAGACTTAACGTGTGAATTGAATACTTTGTGAGTTATAATGACAGTAATTTTTAAAGTGTTACAATTATTTGTAGTTACGACTAGTGGCGATCGAATAAACCGATTCACCAATCCAAACCTGCGTCTTAGTCACTCTGACACGTGACAGTAAGTTAATGCATAATATGTTGCAGAAGACTGCATTGACAGATATCATGCGTATATCTTTCTTAAGTATTGTCACGATCTATGGGCATGATTAATAATGACGGGTTTTGGACTTGATGATCGAATTTATTGGACTCCTTGTACAATCACTTGTAAACATAATAAATTGCAATAACTAACAATAAATCTTCAGCCGAATCTTTCTTCTTTGAGTGCCTAGGACTCATTCAATTCTGACTGGACTGCCTCTCTATAGTATAGTCGGCCTGGGTTTCCTGATATATAACGTTGGGAAGGAGCGACAGAGAAAACAGCTTTCAGTCTTCTACCCACGGAAACGTCGCCCTGTAACGAGTTGGTTTCCGAGAAGCTATCTCCACAGAAACATGTTTGCCGATCCGTTCCCTAGTAATGGATCTACAAGATACAGTATTATCAGTATTATACACTGCAGTAAAGTGACAAAGCCCTTATGGTGTCCATTAAGTAGAAATGCCCTTACCTGGATGCTGCGTGAGTGCGTGTAGACTCTTGCAAAATTATGATGCAACAAAAATGAGGCATACGCAGAAAGAAAGTCGATTGGTCTTTAAATTGGTGATGGCTTTTGCCAGTATAACCATTCCTGCCTTCAGTCTCTCCCAGATATGTACGTGTTTCGAAATGAGGCCTCCTCTTTGATTTATTGCACCGTAGTTTCAGCACGTGTATATCCTCTCTGTCACAGCGTGCAGGTCACTGTAGACTCTCTGCATCCTTTGTCAATACACTGTAGTAATATTTATACAAGATATAAAGAGATTTTCTGTTAATGCAGCCTTGTGCGGCAGGTTGTCTTAACTTATGCAACTACTCTGAAACTGCAGTTAGTCAGCTGAACAGTCATAGGCCTGACCGCCGATTAGTTTAAGTCTCTTATCCTTCCTATACATGTCTTCTCCTTGTCCAATATCACGAATTGGATTTACTTGGTTTAGAATTACTTTTACCAATGTGATGCATTATTTATATAGCCATACATGTAGGGCATTTTGAAAGCCACGTCCGATTCGCAGACTGCTGTGCACTTGGCAGCATTTCTGATAGCGTGGAGTTCTCAGTTCTGTAGGTACTGCGATTTCAAGAGGTGAGCGCCAGCCGCGTACTCCCAAGTGGGAGTCCTTAGTCAGTCCAGAATCTGGAAAGCAGATAATGCCTATCTTATGTACTTATGCTACAAGGGCAGCTGAGTCACTTGAATGGTCGTAAGCTTGACCGCCGCCAAGTTTAAGCCACTAATATTATCTCTGTTTGACTTTGCCTTATCCTATGCTGCGTACATGTACATTTGCATGATTTTTGCTTGTTGGCTGCACAGATTTTTTGTATAATCGTATATATACAGAAGGTTGAAGGGCATGCGCAAATCCAGGACTGGTGTGCACCTTGTTTTCTAGGCACTGCAGTTTTTGAGGTAGATGTCTTTCACTAATTCCCAGGCAGGACAAGCATTAAGTCATTACTGCAACAATTATCACATCAGGAAAATTTTGTGAGGAAGAATTACTAAGAGATAAAAGGGCAGAATTGATGTCAACCTTTTCAATACTCAGTTTCTCAACTAAACCTAA